GACGAGTTAGCGGAGACACGTTCCAACAAGAAGTTTGTTTTATTCTTCATCAGTTTGTTTATTTTGTAGAAAAAGTTATTACACAGTTATTGTTTGTTTGTTTGTTTGTTTGCTACCGTCTCGTTCACAGACGTTCAGTTTACAGTCAGAAGAGAAAGAAAACCAGTAAAAGTTCACATTTTAGAGGCTGAATTTTCTCTTCTAAATGGACTAAAAACGATCGATCATCAACATTACCAATTATTATTGTGTCAATAGAATAATTGATTAATTGATGAATCGACCATTTTTGTTGTCTGTTTAGCTTTTATAAATAAAGTTTTTCTTTGTGCTCAGAGCTGCAACCCCTAACCCTAACCCAATCAATCAGCTCAAACGTGTTCAATCTGCAATCAAACAGAAACAGAGAGAATTAAAGAGTTATAATCAGTTATCAATAATATTGATCAGCTTAATCGCTTTTCACCCTCCGAGTGACTGAATTACCAAAATCAGGTCGATGTTGACTCTTTTGAAGCATGTGTGTGTCTCCAGAATCGGTTTTAACGCAGTCAGATTGTTCGACTCCTGGAAGGTCGAAGCTGAAGGAACTTTATTGTGGAGGGTTTCCGCCACCAGGAAGTGAACATGGGGGGGGCTGAACGCTCATCTCTGAGCCTATTTGCACATTTGTGTAACGGATCAGGATGTAATGAGTCACCCATTCATCCCATTATTCACCCACACATTGATCCCTTCATTCATCCACCCATCCAGGCGTTTATCCCCCCCCCCCCCCATTCATCCGTCAATCCGCCTTTTATGACGGGCAGTCAGTCAAAGGGACGAGCTGTCGTCTGCCAACGCGCTGATGATTCACCTCCTGTGTGTGTGTGTGTGTGTGTGTGTGTGTGTGTGTGTGTGTGTGAACTGTTCTCTAAAATATTGACAATATCAGCTCCTCCAGGATTTTGTTTATTTTGGTACTGTCAAAATATCTGTATATTTACAGGGTTATTCCCTATTTTACAGATTTTTAATTAAAATTACATAAATAATAAATTTGCGACTGTAAATAATCATCTTAGTTAAAGAAAATCTACTTTTTTTTTTACATAAAAGTACAGTCAAAATACAGACACAGACACAATACACAAATATTTTGTATAATTCTGGAAGTTTTCACAACACAAACGTTGAATAAATGTTGTTTATCAGTGTATAAGCATTGGTAAACTGTCCAAATACAGTTGTTATCAGTGTAAACAGCAATAATTACTGTAATCTCACAGATAATGACTTTTATTACAGTTCTATAACTTTTAACATTCACATTAAAATAATAACAATCCAATAATAACAGCACTCTGCTGTAAATGTCAGTCTGATTATTTGTATTATAGCAGAGTTCACCTGTATTTATAGAGCATTACATTAGGTTTACAGTACAGTTACTGTATTTTTTGGGCGGTTGGTTGAGTTCCTCATCATCATGGATTAAACTGATGTATGATTTATGTGTCGGGGGCATTAAATCCCTTTAGAAACATCCTCTGCTCGTCCTCTCAGCGTTGAGCTGTGAGGAGTGTAGTAGCGGGATGTCTCGATTGACAGGACTGCAGTAATATGGGGGGGAGAGAAATGGGGTTAATAGAAAGCGAGAGAGTGGGTGAGGAGTGGGTGAGGGGTTGGAAGAAGGACAGGTGAGCAAAGGTAGCAGAAAATGGAGCGACAGAGCAGTTTAATGTTCCCGAACGTCCTTCAAGTGTTCACTTTGACCTCCATTTGTGGCTCCGGACCTCAGAGGAGGAGGAGGAAGGGGGAGGTCGCTGGAGGGAGGGGTTATTGTTTACATAGTTGCCGCCTCAAAGAGCGTTATAATTTAATAAAGCGATAATCTTCAAGGGCAAACGGATCCTGATGCAGAGTCGAGGTTTCTTTTAAAGTTTATCAGAAATAATCTGAAGTTTTTTTATCAGTCAGCTTCTAAAATAACCTCCAGACTTTAAATCACAGGCTGCAACTTTTACTGCAGTTCAGATATGTTCAGACTCTTAACAAAGGCTGTTTAACTCCACAGTGACATATTTAAAACCTGCTCCCATTATTACAGCTCATTGTTCCCGGTGCAGTTTTCAGTTTTTCTAGCATCTGATTTGACGTTTGTGGCCTCAAAAAACATTTTAAAAACCATAAAATAAGTTATTTCTGAACGTGGCTCAGCAAGTGTCTGTACTGTAAACAGATAACACTGAGAACATTTTATTCTTGTTAGTGAGTAATTCAACCTTTTCATTTGTTTGTTTGCATCCAAAGGACAAGAAGGCAAAAAGTAAAAAGTCATCAGACTGAATTTAACTGTGTACTGAGAGAAAGAAAATATCCATAAACCTGCTGTGATGTTGGAAGTTTTCAGATTTTATGCAGATAATGGTGTGTTCTTTGTACTATGACAAAAAGCATTATTTTGCCTTTACAGTGTAGTATACTGTAGTTTCTTTACTGTAGCTGACTGCAGGCACATTTACCGTGAATAATAAAAGAATAAAAGGGTCCCAAATAAACGGCTGTCAGGTGAGTTAAAGCAAATAAACACCTTAACAACCTCTAACACCAGAAACAGAGTAGTAACATCAGAGAAAAACATTTCCCAGCCTCCAAAATACTTCTGCATCACAGAAAAAATGAAAGGGCCAAAGGCGCTCTGCCATCGTCTGCTCTGTTTAAGTCCTGAGACTTCAGGAGGATTTGTTGCGCTTGAAGTTCACCTCAAACCAGGTGTTCAGCTCGAACCCTCGCGGCCTCACACTGAAGTAAAATGCCAAAAACACCTCTTAGTTTTTTATCTTTACAGTGAGAACTGGACGTCATTCTCTACTCTGGAAAACCTGGAAATTTAGAGACTAGTTTTCCAGTCATGGAAACACCCGGAAATGGATTAAAATGAGCAAATATTTCACTCTACGCCTCAGACATCTACGTATTCAGTTTGAGAACCAGCGCGATACGACACCAGACGTGGAACAAACTTCTATCAAGCAATGTTTTTAGCATCAGGTCTTTTTTCCCGGGCCGAGAGAGACGAGAACAGAAGTGGAAAAATGTCTTGTTGTTAATGAATAACGTACACAGCAATGTTAACTGTACGTGCAACAAAGACTTACTTCTGCTTTACATAGGAGATTAAAATACTGCAACTGTTCCTTATGGGCTGTGGCCAAAGTTCTGTTACTTTCTCTCTTAAATCAGAGCGTCTCTCTCGTCGTTCATTATAAAGCTGCTGTCACACTAAAACACTGCAGCTCTGGTTGCACTCGTTCATGTTTTGATTTCAATTATATTTCGATTAATTGTGCAGCTTTAAGTAAAATGTAGTGAACTCACTGCAGATTCACTCAGCTAATCGATAAAAACGGAGGAACTGCAGCTCAATGTGTCAATAATCGGTCCTGCTGGAAGACGCATTGTTAGAAAGTGGGAAGCCGGATATTAAATGCAAATCCTTCAGAAAGAAAGAAACAAATGAGGATGTGTGTGTTTCATCCCTTTAATTTAAAGTAAAGACAAAAGACAGGCTTGTTTTTCTGCTGTTTGTTTACAGAGGAGAGAGGAAGAGAGGGAGGGAGGGAGTAAAGTCTTCTTTGAAGTACAGTAATTCATGCGTAGCGTCCTCCCTCTGCTTCGTTGTTATTCTGAGACGTTTGCACATTCAATAGCGTAGCCGATACATTCATTGTTTGCTCTTTGCTATCAGAGGGTACAGCACTGCACTTTAAAAGACTGTCACCCACTTACCCCCGAGAGGGAGGGAGGGAGTCATTAGGGCAGGGAGAGCGGGGGAGACAAGCGAGCTGGCTATCGCACCACTCAGCCGCGTGTTTGCGTGTGCTGAATGAACATATGTGTGCGTGCAGGTGTGTCGGCTTTACATGATGCTACATACCGCTGTTGTCCCAGAGGCTGCAGATAAAAACACCAGCAGATTCCTCTCACTTCCTCTGTGAGGCCGTGCAGGTAGGAAGCACAGCCCTCTCCCCTGTATGTATCATCCACTTACACGCAGCTCTTTTTAGCCTCTTGCGTGCACGACTGAAACAATCACTACCCAGTGTTATATTTACGGTCCCCGCAGGATGAGCTGGAACTACTTTTCATGGTGTGCTGTCAAGAGGCTGACATTGTTTCTGAGGGAAGGATTTCAACCATAATTGTACACAGTTGGACAAACTGAAATACTGTACGGATATCTTCACTTTGGTTGTTGAACAAATTCCTGCACAAGATGGTTATTGTTGTTAGTGGTACTTTGTGTTTAGAGCAACATCTCGAGGGTCTTCTGACTTCTGGTTCTGGTCGATCTGTAAAACTGCTCATCGTAAAACAGTGTAGGATTTTAGATAGCGGTGGTTTAGTTCCAGTTCGTTCCATTGACTCATTAAGATGACCTGATACCATTACAGAAATGTAACTTACACAGGGCTTTGATGCTTTCCATAAGTTTAAGTGATTTTGGATTCAATTCAATGTGAAAGAAGTTTAAATTACTTTTAAAGTGTAAAGATTTGATGTTATTCACATAGAAAACAAGTTTATTGTTATTCTTTAACTTGAAATACGTGTGTGTATCATTAAATGTAATGACAACAGTGTTTTTGTTGTTTTTTTGTCAGACTCTGATACGATACATCAGCTCTAAGCTAATATCAGCCTTGCTCTGATGCTAACGTGCTAAAATGCTAAACATCATTATGTTAATATGAGCGCAGAACTTCTCGTCCTCTGCTCGGTATCTTCTTTATTTCTCATCTTTCCCGCCTTCAGTTCTTTCCGTCGTTCTTAAATTTCTCATCATGTCCCGACGCGCTCCCTTCCTCCTCATCCTCGACTCCATCCGACTGTCCAGTGATTGAATATAAATGTACAAACTCTGCCTCCTCTCTCTCTCTCTCTGTCTGAAACATCAGCTTTCAGATTCCTCAGCTTTCACTCACTGACGCCGTTTGTGGTTCTTTCTTTTTTAGATAACACAAGTGCGATGTCACCTTGACGCAACCTTCTGCTGCACGGTGCCCCTGAATCCAAACGTCTCGTAAGTCTGCAAATCACATTTTAATTCCATCAGAGAGGCTGAAGCTGTTGAGCCAAAGACAGAAAACTGAACTCAGATAGTTCCTCTGTTTCTGAGACCTGCAGAGACGAACCATTCCCGTCATCCAACCCTCAAACACGCCATTAACATGCAGGTGTAGAAGAAATAAGTGAACAGTCACTCACCTCGACGTTCTCTCTCTTGTGTTTACATTTGCAACAGTTTAGACGGTTCCAGGTTTGATCTCTTGTGGCATTTACCTAAATCCCTTTACAGCGGAGCCTTAAGTAACGTTGAGCGCGGGGGTGAAAAAGTAAAATCTGGTGATAAATATCAGCTCGGTGAGGCTGCCCAACGTACTCGACTGTGATAAATTTAGCAGACGGGGGACGTCTTTAGCCTAGCGAAAATAAATCCGAGCTGTGGTACCTTTTTAAAACCCCGGCGAGCTGGAGGTCACATTGCTCGGTCCGTAAGGCTTTCAGCCGCGGCCTGCTATTATCATTGAGATAAAGACCAGATCCTCGGAGCGGAGACATCTGCAGTGACCATGGAGGTGGAGGGAGAGTCGGGGGGGGGGCAAAGGTAGATCTGAGATACTGAGGCTAAATGAGCGGCTGGCTGCAGTGAATTATGTGCTTCTGGTGAACAGAGCGGGCGACTCGCTGTATCGCTGACAGTACGACTGGATTCATGAATGAGTCAGTGAACGTGTGACTGCCTGACAGACTGATGGAGGGAATGAGTTTGCTCGCAGGCTGACAGGCTGACAGAGTGAAGGAATAAATGCTGTTATTGATTATTGGCTGCTGGGACTTCAGATGGTGTGTGGACCGGCTGAAAAGCAGATTTGTGATTGACGTGGTGCAACTGACCGATCTGCTAACAAGTGCAAAATCTGAGCAGAGACGTTTTAGATTGTGTGTGTGTGTGTGTGTGTGTGTGTGTGTGTGTGTGTGTTGAAGTGTTGGAGGTACATTTGGATGGAAAATTTCAAAAAAGATACATCTCCCCAAAAAAACCTTTCATAGCACTGTAGGAGCTTTTTAAAGTCACTCGTGAGGATATTGACCACCATCATTATCCCCACAATGAAAATTCACAACAATAAACTTATTTTTATTACGATACGCAATAATATCGTAGATTTTCCTTAAAAGTCACAAAATCATAAATGAGGTAATAAAACTACAAAGTATTGATAAAAAACATATATTATGTAATTGTTTGTTTGTTTCCACGGCACACCTGCACACTATCTACCACTGCACCAAAGCATTATGGGAACTGTAGTACAAGTACAAAGTAAGACAAAGAACATTAATATTAACTATTGATCCTCTTTATGTTCATATATTTGTCTATATATATGTGCAGACTCATTAAAGGTGGGAGAGATGAGGGTTCGGGTGAATCCTCGCAGGCTGGTTTTCTGGCTGTTTCTTTGCCGACTGGCTGTGTGTTTATGTATTTATAACCCGGCAGTGTAAGCCAGATAGCAGAGACACAGAGATGAGAATTGATGACCTGCGTCACCGGGGGATGGGAGGAGATGGCTATCAGCACAAAAACTCATCACACAAACACACAAGGACACGGATCCATAGACACACACAGATATACAGGCGAGCGGACGGTGCATACGTGCGCCGTAGCTTCGGGTTGATGCAGTATCCAGGTCACTGCGGCGTATATTATCGGGACTGTACCTGCACACAGCTGACCCAGATTAGTCCTGTTTATCTTGGAGGAGACGAGGGATGTGTTAGCAAACTCTGAACACCTGAGAGCTCCTGGAATAGATTCTAGCTTGTTTTTAACCCCAGAAATACATTTACAATCTTCTTTTTGTTTGTAAACAGAAACTAAATGTTGAATATTCTTCCATAGAAACCGCTGTCACTACAATTGTGTTCACGACTCAACTTATAAATGTTTTATCTTTGTAAGTGTTGCTCTCTTTTAAAGGAAAAAGGATTGTGCAACCATCAGTTGTCACAACGCTTAAACATCTAATTACTATAATCTATTCAAACTTTATATATATTTATAAATATGTGCCAATAGCAATAAGACGATCAATCATTAAAGTCCTTAAACTAAACATTAAACTGCCACCAAAGCACATAATGAATAAGCTATGGATATGATAATTATCAGGTGTTTTTATGTTTATTCAGTTACAGCCGACAAACGATCGATTGATTATAATTTATTCATTTAACTCGATTTCAAAATGTTTGATTTGATTGATTTTAAGATGGAGTCAGAGCTGTTCTCAGTGTGTAAAAACTACAGGTTAGGAAAACAAAGTGATAAAGTGGTTGATATTAACTTTTTTCTCCACCTATTTTATTAAAAATAGGTTATAAATGATCAATAATCATCGATATCAACTGAAGTCTGTCTCATAAATCGTGCTCATGAACAGCTCCTCTCCATCTGTGACGGGCAGCTGCGTCACCACGCTGACGAGGCGTCCGTCTGCTCGCCAATAGCTTCATTGATCGCTCAAACAAACCGACAATTAATCATCACTGATTTAAAGAAATGTGACGGAGAGAGAAGTTTATTTTCTGGAACACACAAATGTGTTTTGACATAAGCAAACTTTTCTGTTTAATCTAAACTGAGACAGTTTGTGAGCTCCCACTCTGACACCTACTCTTATAAAATGATTCATAATGTAAAAATAAAGTTTATCTCATCTCATAAAAATAGCTGCGTGTTTGAGTGAAGGTCAGACAATTTGTCCCAAAACAATGCAGCTTGTTGTTTTTTAAGATAATTTGTGGTGCAAACTAACTTCTCAATAACCTTTTCTTTAACCTCCGACTATATTTAAGTCTAAAAATAGTCACAGTTGGGTTATTTACCCCCATCAGAGCTGTCAGAGGGAAAACAGGGCACGTTCGGAGGGAATTGGATGGCACCTGGGAGGGAAAGTTCATGGATTGAAGCGGACCCTCGGATTAAAGGGCACAGATTAGTGTGTGTGTGTGTGTGTGTGTGTGTGTGTGTGTAGGAGGTCTCGTGTTGCCCGGCTGTCATTTTCTGTCACACTAGCAACTGTCCCCAGCTGTCCATCTCACCACACACATGCAGACACACACACATTCAGACACACACACATGTGACCAGCTGTCAGTGTGTGTCAGGTCTTCGCTGGTGGTCCCAGTAGGACGGACACACACTCACACACACACACACTCACACACACTCACACTCACACACACACACACACACACACACACACACACACACACATATCTTTGTGTTTTTGGCTGCGATCGCATAACATAACAAATACAGAAATTCTTGTGTTACTACGTTGTGGGGACCTGTCATTCCCAACCTTTTTCTTCAATCATTGAGTAAACAGACTATATTTTGTGGATATTTCATATTATATTCAATGCATGATAATAACAGTAAATAAACAGTAGAGAAAAACTGATACTGCAGGAAGTTTGTGTAAAACAAGCGATTTGGATGAATTTTGAGCAGATTATTTCCTGTGAATATTGATCAGAGATGAGTTTTCCTGATATTTTTATACAATTCTCTGTCTGTATTCTGTATTTTCAACAATCGTATATACCTAACAGTCTTCCTTTTTGAACATATGTGTGTTTTCTTCTCTCTTAACACTTCTATTCGCTGTTTCGTTGTCCTGGAAACACTAAAAATGCCTGAAAAAACATTGTTTTCCAGGTGGATTTTAAAAAGTTACATAAAAGTTATAATATGATCAACTGTTCAGTGCAGAGTCACTCCTCAATGTCACAGACAGACAGCCAATCAAATCAAGCAATATGCAGCAACTTCCTTCCTGTTTTAATGCGGCTAAATAGGTTAGCTAGCTAGTTAGTTAGCTGTTGAGACTGTGAGAGCTACGGAGCAGGTGTGTATTAAGGGGGTAAACCCAAGCACTGCCTCACCTCAACCAATCACAGCTAAGTGTCCACTCCTCAAACAGCCCTTTAAACCTGTGTGGTCCAGCATTTCGGGTCCCCACAAAGCTGTCAGACCCCACAGCGAGCGCCCGGTGTTTGGACCCCAGGAGTGTAGTAAAACAAGCGGGAAACACTCACACAGATACAGAGGCAGAAAACACAACTTCAGCAGTCTAATTGGAGTGAAATGTAATTACTCCTGCTACCTACACATTCTTTAACAATAATTGTGTTTCCTCCTCTCTCTCTCTCTCTCTCTCTCTCTCTCTCTCTCTCTCTCTCCCTCTCTCTCTCTCTCTCTCTCTCTTTTTGTTTAGTCTCTATGTCCCTCTCTCTCTCTATGATTGTTAATTCTTTCATGTTTCATTTTTTGCAGCAGTTGCAGGGTTATAATTAGCCTACTGAGATGCGCAAAGCGTCGTGGCACTTTCCCCTTATGAGCTGTTAGCCTTCACACACACAAACACACACACACACACACACACACACACACACTCTCTCTGTGAGGCTCATAAGCAGGAAAGCGCTGATGCTTCGACGCTCCAAAACACAACTCTAATCAAAGTGGACGTGTGTTTGGCTGCGTTCGCAAAAGAACCGCAATTCCCATGATTCTGCCTGCTGGTCTCATTTTTATTTTTTTATTATTTTTTTTGTGGCTTCGCCTCAAATTAAATGCTCATTTCGAGGAACCTAAAGTGCACTGAGGCCTGTGGGGGACGAGAAGGCTTTACAGCAGCACAGTTTGACAGTACAGGACACATCAATATGAGCAACGTTTCACAAACGGCGGGAAGTCGTAGGGTTTCCTTTCATCTCGCTCAAGTTCACGTTCTGGTTTGAATTCTTTTCCCGATGGAACAGAGACGAGGGTATTTTTACCGCTGACAGGCAGGTGAAGGGCACTTCTGTGGTAAAACAATCTTGTTTTCGATGCGAGGGATTATTGGGCAGATAAGGATCTTTGTTTTTGGAGATAATAAATGGCGTCCCAGTCGCTGCAGGTCGCCTGTGTAACTCAAGACAGACAACAAACCTTCCCGG